TTGGCACATCTGAGCTTGCTGCAGGCTAAGTGCTGAGCTCCCAGGAGCACGGCTATGAGGTCCCACCGGGGTGCTGTTAGCTTGGCTTCTCAGAGGAGACCTTTGCCAGATGCTCCTCCACGGCCCCACTGGGGAAGGGCAGCACTGGGCAGCCGAGGTGGGTTTTTCAGGGCTGGTGGCCCATGGCTATGGAGGAGGGAGCTGGGGGTGAAAAGGGCAGATACCAAGCCAGCATGGATTTAAGCCCCTAAAGCAGAATGTGGCTGGGGCCACCTTTCTTACCATACCATTTCTCTTCCCATCCTATTCCTGCTCCCATCCTGATGGAATGGGAAGAGAAACCTGTGAGCTGGTGAATAACTTCATTAATAAAGGGACTACTGAAATGCTTACGGAAATTAAGTACGTCTATGATGAAAATTAGAAAAACTCCATGTGTTTGGGTGTCCCTGTGTCCCATTTGATCCTTTTGGTGACATTTCTGCCCCAGGGGAATTTGGCCAGCTAGAGACACCCGAGTCCTGCCCCTGACCTCTGCTGCAGAGGTGTGTGCCGAGTCATGGCCAGCCCTGGGCAGCTGCCTGGGCTTTGCTCTCCCTCTCCTTCACCAGGTTTTGGGGCCAGTCAGCTGCTCTCAGCCTCTGAATTCCTCCTGCTGACAGCAGACTGCAGGAACTGGTGAGCCCATGAGCTGCTGCAGGAGGCTGCTCCACGGACCCCTGCCAACTGCTTGCCATGGCATACTGTGTGAACCGCTCCTTTAGACACACCGAGGAGAGCAGGGTAATGTATTTCTACTGGAAAAAACAAACACATATCTCTAATGAAATCCTGGTGCACCGTCAATTAATCTTTTTTTTTGGGGGGGGAGGGGGTTCCTTATGTGAAAATTAAGTCTTTGTCTTGTCAGACCCAAGCCTTTCCTCATACTTGCCATGCCACCCCATCAACATTATTTCTCATGCATAAAGAGAGCCTGGAAAACTTAAGCAAAGAGGAAGCAACAGAAAAACCCAAAAGAGGCAAAGGGCATTCCTTCCCTTCCCTTCCCTTCCCTTCCCTTCCCTTCCCTTCCCTTCCCTTCCCTTCCCTTCCCTTCCCTTCCCTTCCCTTCCCTTCCCTTCCCTTCCCTTCCCTTCCCTTCCCTTCCCTTCCCTTCCCTTCCCTTCCCTTCCCTTCCCTTCCCTTCCCTTCCCTTCCCTTCCCTTCCCTTCCCTTCCCTTCCCTTCCCTTCCCTTCCCTTCCCTTCCCTTCCCTTCCCTTCCCTTCCCTTCCCTTCCCTTCCCTTCCCTTCCCTTCCCTTCCCTTCCCTTCCCTTCCCTTCCCTTCCCTTCCCTTCCCTTCCCTTCCCTTCCCTTCCCTTCCCTTCCCTTCCCTTCCCTTCCCTTCCCTTCCCTTCCCTTCCCTTCCCTCATTTTTAGATTTCCAAGCCTGGGCTTCCCGCTCTCCTGGTTTGGGCAAGAGGCTTTTTCATGGTTTAAGGTATGGATTTGAAGTTTTTGTGCCTACAGCTGAAGGAATAGGAATGACTTTGTAACAAGCACAATTTTGTTCTGTATCTTTACCCCTGGCTTTGACTTAAATTAGTGCTGCCTGAAACAAGCTAAAAGATAAAAAAAAACTTTGTCAGATGAAAACTGTGTTGCTAAGACAGTACCACTGATGTTTTGCTGCTACTAGGAATTTTCTTGCTTGTGGAGCCTTCCACAAGTAAGCACCACCTAAGTTTCAAATGTGAAACAGAAAGCCCCTTTTTCTTTTGTCACAAATGATTTCAGGTCTTCTTTAGGTGGTAAAGGATGCCAGATGAGGGAAAGAAGCAAAAAATAAGCAGTTTGCAACCATTTTACCCTTCAGAAGCTGCCTTTAACATCACATATTTCTTCTTACATGGAATTATTTTGATAAGGATTTTCTGTATGTGATATGTACCCTTTCCAACTTTAAATCCTTTAATTAAGGTCTAAATTGTGAGTTGGGCTGTGTGCCTGCAGGGAGCAGTAAGAGGGAAGGTATATGAATGCACAGTACTGCTTGGCCTCTTAGTTCACGCATGGAGCCATAAATAGGATTTTGCCTGAGTGCCTCTGGTCCCAAAGAGAAGAGAATGGGAAGGGGTTGGAGAAGAAGCCTTTGGCTGTCGTGGTGGACCCCACGGGCAGAATTAAGAATTAAATTTCCCGCCTGGGGCCTTGTCTTTATTTCCGCACCCACCTACCCCTCCCTTCAAAAGTTGAGAACACCGAGTGAAATGCTTCACGCTGGCTAGCACAAGAGCACAGCAATTAGCCCACTGCAGGCTGTCTGCTAGAAATGCTGGGTGGGTCTCCCAACGCCCCTGCAGACCTTGGTGCCTTTCCTGCGCTGCCCCTGGGATGCGCCAAGCACCGCTTTCCAGGGATGTCGCCTCCAAAAGGGGAAACCCTCTCCAGCCCACCCTGGAGAGCCTCTCCTCTCCCATGGGGGACCTGTCACAGTGACGTGAGAATGCCCAGAGCAAAGCCATCTTCGCCTGGCGTGGAATGATTAAGAAGCATGTTTATAAAGTCCAGGAGACAGCTGAAGGAGTTAAGTTACTTGAGTGCTTTGGGATCCTTCAGGATGAAAAATGCTGTATACATGTCGGATTTTATTATTACAATTACAGTCAGATGTTAATCCCCTCACCGGGATTTACTAAGGCAGCAGTGCCAACAGCAGTACATCTCGCTGAGTAATTGCTCTGTTCCTGACTCTTGGGTGTCTCTGCCCTGAGCTGCTTCTTGTTACTGTGTTTGCTTTAATTCTGACACTGCTGAGAGACCTGCGCTTTCCCACCCAGCAGCAAGCAAAGGCAGAGTGCACATCTGCCTGCACACCGAGGGCTGACTTTGGTTCAAGCATTGCATGTGTATTGAAGTCAGGATCTTGGTAATGAGAATGTTTCACTGATAATATTCAGTATTGAAGGATAATGATACCCATCTCTTTTACAAATACTTTTGAGAGCGAATGATAAAAGAGCCAGGGAACAGCACTATTCCTCCATGACTCTAATTTCAGAGTGCATGTGAGCCAAATGAGTGAAGAAGAGCTCAGAGTTCAGCAAACCAAGCTGGGATCACGATAGCAGAAATACACAGCAAGGGAAGAAAGGCTGGATACATTTAAACCATGCGCTTTAATCCTGGGTACTGTAAATAACCAGGGCGCACTGTGACAGGCTCCCGAGCCGGCCCGCGGCAGCTTTGTCTCCCTGAAGTCTAAGGGACGCTCTGACTTTATGCAGACTCAGGGCTGGATATTCAACCTTACCATTTTTGGGGGGTTTGTTTTCTTTTCCTGTCTGAACCCAACATTTGGCGTTTCTGAGATGACGAAGAGACAGAAGCCTGGGGTAAATGCTCCGCTTATTCATTCGCTGGGCGAAGCCACCTCCGCGCACGCTCAGGGTGCAGCGGTGAGGTGCTCCTGGCCGGGCGGCTGTTTGCAGCCCTTCACTTTGCTTGGTGGGTCGTATGCACATCGCAGTGAGGAACTGGCCCCGCCATCTGCCTCCTGCCCCACGCGCCCTGCCTTGGCCCCAGTGGGTAGCTGGTTATCTCATGCCTTCGGGAGAGTGACTGGCATGGGCAGGAATGTTCTTACACACTGTCAGCCTGGAGGAACCAGCTGTGTGTCCAATTTCTGGATATGGTTCAAGTGTGAGCTCAGTGCTGAGCAATGTGGAGGTAAAGGAGGTGAGAAGGGTTTGGGTTTTCACTGTGTTGACGCACACCAGGCTCCCAGAACTCTGTGCCACAAATGTCATGGGTCCAGCTCTCCGCCAAGAGATTTAGCCCCACACTACTGACAAGGGGTTGGAGAAAGAGCCACTGATTTAACCTGGCTTTCTATCCCACTGCTGAGGGGTGAGGGAACACTTCCCCTCGAGCAAGGGTGATGCTCCTGGAAGGCTGCAGCCTCCCTTGCAGAGGGTGCCGAGATGCTGATGCTGGGGTGCATCCGGCCGTTACACCCTGGTGTGCTGCCCCCAGGGTCCTGCCCAGGAGGGGCTGTGGGGGCACCGCGCCCTACTCGTCTTTTAGCTCCTCATGAAGCCGGAAGATGGCTTTGGAGGTGATGTGGGCTCTCGTGGAGGAGCAGCCGCGGAGCAGCTGTGGAAAGCAGAGGCGGAGCAAGGGCCCAGCTACCCAGGAGGTCTGAGCCGGTGCCCGGGCGCCGGCAGGGGATGCCCAGGCCAAGCAAGGGCTCCTTGGTTTGGGGGTCCCCGCTGCGACCCCAGCGCCGTGCCCAGGGCTGGGGCCACGTCCCCTGCGCGCGGGGCCGCGCTGCGCCCGCGGGCGGCGGCGGCGGGACCCGGGGGCGGCGCGCGCGCGGGCGCGGCTGTCACTCAGCTGGGCGCGCGGCGAAAGTGACAGCGGGGGCGGGGCGGCCGCGCGCCGGGGCGCGTATTTAACTTGGGCGGCGAGCGGCGGCGCGGCAGAGCGCGGCGGGCGGGCGGGCGGCGCGGAGGGGTGCGCTGCGCTGCGCTACGCGGCCGGGCTGCACGGCACCGCATCGGACTGCACCGAGCCGAGCCCCGCCGAGCCGGGCCGCAACGCGCCGAGCCGGCAGCGCCAGGGCGCGGAGCAGGGGAGGGAGGCGCGGAGCTGCGGCTGGATGCGCGGAGCGCGGCGGGGCCGACCGGGCCCCCGGAGCAGCGGCGGCAGCATGGGGCGCCGGGGTTGCTGAGCGGCGGGCCGAGCCCGACCTCCGCCGAGGAGCCGCGCGGAGCGGCGGCCGTCGCCAGGGACCGCGCCGGGAGCCGGTGCCGGGGACACCCCCTCACCCCCCACCCCCCCACCCCCCCCCCGCCACGCCGAGGATGCCCCGGGGGGCCGCGGGCCGCCCCAGCCGCTCGCCATGAGGAGGAGCCCGGCCGGGCAGCGGGCGCTGCCGCCGCCGCCCGCCGCCGCCGCCGCCTGAGCCCCGCGCCCCGGCGGTGCCCGCGCAGGGGCCGCCCGAGCGGGCCGCGGCGCCGTGACCCTCCTCCCCGCCCCCTCGCCCGGCTATAAAGGAGGGTTTTATTCTCGGGCTCCGGTCTCACGCCAAACCCTGTCACACCGTCTAGACGAGCTGTCGTGGGGCTCGGCCCAGCTGTCACCATGGCGATGGAGACGAGTCCGCTGTGAATTTTGGGGGGGGGGAGCGAGCGAGAGCGGCGGCGGAGGAGGAGGAGGAGGAAGGCTCGGCCGCCGCCGTGCCCTGCCCTGCCCCGCCGCCGCCCGTGGGGGGGAGGCACGGACCCCCCGGCGCTCTCGGCCGCGGCTGGAGCCGGCCCGGCGGGGAGCCCCGGGGAGCCAGCGGCCGCGGGCGCGGAGCGAGCCTCAGATGCGTCTGTCACACAACCCCGGCCGAGCTATTTAAAGTAACGGGCCTCGCCGGACTTTTGTCTCTGCCTATTTATGAGTCCCCGGGAGCTGTCAGGCGCCGCCGGGCAGCGCTAGGAGCCGAGCCCGCCGCGCCAGCCCCGCGGGGAAGCCAGCGCCGAGCCGGGGCCGGCGGGGGCCCGCCCGGAGCATGACGGCGATCCGGGCGCTCCTGCTCTGCTCCTGCCTGGGGCTGCTGCGCCCGGGGGCCGGGCAGCCCTTCCTGCGGCTGCGACCCTCGCCCAGCGACAACCTGCCCGTCAAAGACATCGTGGAGCACCCGGATCCCGAGTACGACCCCAAGGAGCAGGACCTGGACGAGAGGACTCTGAGGAAGAAGCTGGGCAGCCATTTCGACCCCGGCTTCATGGCCGTGGCCGTGCCGGGGCCGGCCAACGCCTCGGGCGCCGAGGCGGCGGCGGGGCGGGGGCGGGCGGCGCTGCCCGCCGAGCTGCGGCGGCTGGAGCTGGGGCCGCCCCACGGCCCGCGCTTGCGGGTGGGCAAGAAGGCGCGGCGGAAGGTGCTGCAGTGGCTCTGGGCGTACACCTACTGCCCCGTGCTCTACACCTGGAAGGACCTGGGCGTCCGCTTCTGGCCCCGCTACATCAAGGAGGGCAACTGCTTCGCCGAGAAGTCCTGCTCGCTGCCCGAGGGCATGTTCTGCAAGCCCGTCAAGTCGGTCACCAAGACGTTCCTGCGCTGGCACTGCCAGGGCTGGTCCAGCCAGAAGTACTGCACCTGGATCCCCGTGCAGTACCCGCTCATCTCCGAGTGCAAGTGCTCCTGCTAGCCTCCCCCGGCCCCTTGCACTGCCGCCTTCTGTCGTCTGGATGATTTCGGGGGGGTGGGGGAGGGGGTGTTTGGCGCTTTTTTTTTTTTTTTTTTTTTTTTTTTCCCACACCCACCCCCCACCCCCCCCCCAGCGCGGGGTGAGGGAAGAGGAACCGTTTTTGGGGTGGCTTTTTGGGGTGTTTTTTTTTTTTTTTCGTTTGTTTGTTTTGTGATTTTTTGTTTTTTTGGTTTTTTTTTTTTTTTTTTTTTGTGGGGGGGGTGGATTTATATTAATGTTATTTTATTTGAAAGGGGAAAAGCGAACCCAGGAACTGCAGGGCAGGCCAAAGGCACAGTAAAGCACTACAATCAGATGTCTATTTTTATACATATATAGCCTTCTAACAAAAGGAAAATAAAAAAGTAAAAAAGAAAAAAAAAAAAAGAAAAAAAAAATACCAGCCGTGTAAATAGAGAGATTTTAAAGGAAAGGGGGGAAATCGCAGCTGTTTTTTATTATAATAATTATTATTGTTATTATTATTATTTTAAAGACATAGGACCACATTTTAAACCAATCCCCACAGAACCCGAGCACTTCCCTGCTGAAGGGAAGGGCAGAAATTTCCTGTAAAGATGATTTTATCAAAAGGAGAAGGGGAGGGGAGGTTAAATAAAAAAAAAATAAATAAAAAAAAAAAAAAAAAAAAGGAAGAACGGCAGCATCCCCGAAGATGGTTGTTTCTGTGTGCTGTATTATTTTTTTTTTTTTTGTCTTCTTCAGACCTTGTCACTGATGTTTGAACTAATTTGCAAAGCTCTCTAGGGATTTTTTTTTTTTAACTGTATAACAATTAATTAAGGAGGAAATTTTAAAGAAAAGTACAAATCTATGAAAGAGTGGAATCGTTTTGTTGTGTGGGAATGCATATAGTCGTGTAGAGATGTTAAAAGGAAATTTTCTCTGTACAGTTTATTTATTTTTAACGTTTGTGTATAGGAAAAAAAGCTAGAGATTATGCCAGAAACTATTGGAAATGTTTACTTGAATATTCCTTTAAAAACATATCAATGTAAATATGAGCTATCACTGATCAAAACATTTTTAGCAATAAACTCTATCTTTGAAGAAAAACCCCATGCTGCACCCCAGCTGCCTGGGAGACCGGCGGAGACTTGAATTCTTGCTCGGAGCAGGTGATGAGTAAAGGGCTTTGGCTGGGCCACGCTGGTGTAAATCGCGAGACAGCCTGAAGGTTGGGAGAGCTCCACCAGTTTATGCCTCTCCGGGATGTCGCTCTAGGTTTTCTTTGCGTATGTAACCTGTTGGGGAGGAGAAAAAAAAAAAAAAAAAAAAAAAAAAAAAAGATGGGTGAGAAATGGCTCGTAGCACTTAAAAGAGGTGCAGTGTCTTGGATGGAAGGTGTCATGCAAAGTCCCGGGGAGATTCCTGCTTCGTGTCGCCTGTCCTGGGCTCCCGCATGCTCTGTGGCTCTTTGGATTTGGCTCTCCCGCTGGCAGAGGAAGCGGTCGAGGTTACCGCCCCAGCCATCAAAGCGCCTGACACAGCTTGGCAGCCCCGTGTGTGTCAGAACAAATGTTTTTTCTCAGCTGCCGCCACTAGCGCAGGAGGGAAGGATGGAGACGAGCCCTGTGCCCAGCCCTGCCGCCGCGACAGAGCCCCGAGGCTGGCATTTCTCCCCCGCAGCGCAGCCGGGTGCGTGCTGGGGTCAGGAAGAAGCGCGTCGCCCTTGTGGGCCAGGGGCTGGTGGGACCCCCCCCCCCCCCCCAACTCCCCCACTGGAGCTCGTGGAGCCAGGGCGAGCGAGGGAGAGACACGGTGGCTCTGCGCGGGCAGGCTGCCGGCAGCCGGGCCGGCTGGGGAGGAGCCCGGCGCTGGTGAGCGAGGGCACTGGCAGTGCAAGCCCGCTGCCGACGGAGATCCGTCTGTCTGTCGTAGGGCTTGGAGCGGGGCCCTGATGGGCTGCCAGGCCGTGTCGTCGTCCGTCATCCCCCCCCCCCCCCCCCCCAACATGCTCCGCGTGGGCTGATGGTGCTGGAGGGGAAGGTCTGGCCGTTCCCTCCGGTGTCTGAAAAGCGCTCAGCATCCCCCAAGGAACAAACTGCTGCTGAAGGCCCTTGCCAGCGAGGAGCCGTGCCCTGCCAAGCCATCTGCGGAGCAGCGGGGAGACCCCGGCCCCCCTCCAGCTCAGCATGCAGCGGAGGAGAGGGGCGTGATACCGAGCCCACAGGGAGGCACCGGGACCCTCTGAAGGGTCTGGCTCGCATCCTTCCATCTTCCTCCGAGGGGACTGCGGGCCGGTGAGCCCCACTGGAGCAGGCCTGCGGAGCCCGGAGATCGTGGGCAGACTGAGGCTGAAACAAGGAGAGAGCTTTTCTAATGGGCACGGTGAGGATGAGGCGAGAGGGACGGCGACATCCAGCAGCCAATGTCCCTGCCGAGCCCGCCGACCATCCTTCTGGCCCCGCACGAGGAGGCAGGTTGGCCTTTCCACACGTTCGTCAGCGAGGGACTGAAGAAGGGGGGGGGACGCAGAGGGCAGGGTGGAAAAGAGACCTTGGTGAAGGCAATGTGCAAAACATCAGGGGCATTTGGGAGAGGAAGGGGAAAGCTCATTTTGCAAGAGGAACAACATCTGTGGTGTGGGGGCCGAACATCTGTAGGAGGGAGCATGGGGGGAGGGCATTCTGGGAAAATATTTCTGACATAATCCCAACAGTATCTGGTGTGTTGGGATTTGGTTACAAATGGCCCTCTAACGTCTTTGTGCGTTTTGTTCTGCTGGTTCCAGGGGCACACAGAGACCCCTGCTTTGTGCTAACCTGGGAAATAAACCATTCGCTGGGCTCAATGGCTGAGTTCAGTTGCACAGGGAAGGGCGGGTGGGAACGGGGAAGGCGAGATTTGTGTGAACTCCAGCAAAAAACAGCCTAAAAGCCTCCGTGCCATGTGCTGGAGGGAGGAGGGGGGCTGCCTCTGTCTCTGGGGAGAACTCTGTGGTCCCGCTTAGGATGATGGCTTCTCTGGAGGCAAAAGCGTGAGAGCGGAGAGCTGAGGTGCTCGGCGCGGGCAGGGGCTGGGGAGAAGAGGGCAGCCCCGCGGGGTGCACGCCAGCTCGCCGGGTCCTGCCTCGCCGACCCGCTGCGGCGCTGGTGTCCAGTCACCTCGTGCCGATGCGTGGTCGTCACCTCGTGCCGATGCGTGGTGGTCACCTCGTGCCGATGCGTGGTCGTCACCTCGTGCCGATGCGTGGTGGTCACCTCGTGCCGAGGAGCCTCCTGCTCGGCTGCCCCAGGAGACGATGAGTCGGACGTGTGACGGCCGGGGCCGTGGGCGTGATGGCTTGCCTCGTCTGCTGAGCCTCAAAGGAACGAGAGACAAAGGGGAACAAGCCTGGTGCTTTGGTGCGGTTATTTCATTGTCTCCCCAAGCTGCTTGTGATTAAGGGACAAGCTGGGAGGGGGGTGGGGGGGTGGGCAGAAAGGGGCAGAACAGGCAGAACCCACATAGCCCTGAGATGCAGTGGGTGCCAACTTCTGAAGACATGGGTCTTTCCCCCTGTGCTCTGGGGTGGTGGCCCAGGAGACGGGCTCGGCGCTCTGAGGGTGGGTGGCATCCTCTAGGTTGGGTCACACTTGTCATCACGTTGGCAAGAGACATGCATGGCTGCGGCCACACACTGACAGGCATGGGCACGCCTGCTCCTGGGCACCCAGCCGGTCCCTTCGTTCACCCAGTATTTACAGGGGGGGCTGCGTACATGCCCTGTGAAGCCACAGTGAGCCACACGCTTTGCAGTCTCCCTTCTCTGCCCTCAGTCTCGGGGCTTAAGCAGGAGGTGGTTCGGCTGTTTAACCCCTTCTTCCTTCGGGCAGGGCAGAGCGGACGTAGCAGAGGAGGCTCCACGGGACCTGGTGGCTGCAGGCACACATCCGTGGGCACAACTGGGAGGCAAAGGCGGCTTTCCCCTCCACAGGCAGTGCTGGCCAGAGCTCGCCTGCTCTGACACCACATGCTGGGCTGGGGCAGCTCCCTCGGCTGGATCATGTCCGGATCTCTTCCTTGTAGTCCCTACAAAGCCAAGCCCGGAGCAGAGAGCCCTGCTCTTAGGTCCGCAGAGGTCTCCGTCTCTTCCTTGTGCACCTCAAAGCCCTCCTGTCACCTGGTGAATTGCTCCCCCTCACACAAAGCCCAGATTTCGATGATCTTGTTTGTCTTGGGAGAGTGTGTGAGCTCAGGATGGCTTCTGACATTTGACTCGGTGGCATGGAGGCACTTTTCCATTTGCCTTTCACATCCCAGTTTGGCTTTGCCATCAGGAGCAGGTTAACCCTTTTGTCTCTGTCGCCAAAGGGTATTTCATCTCCCTTTTCCTGTGCCGCCTTGCCCCCTTTAGCTCAGGTCCCCTCAGCTAAGGCTGGTCTCCAGGAACGCGGTTTGTGTCGGTGCGCTGGCTCTGCCAGGGTGACCCAGATTCACCGGGCCAAAGCTCGCAGATGCCTAATGCCAGCTCTTGAGATATCTGACTCAGGCCCGGGTGATGATCTAAGCCCATCACTCATTGTTCCTAGAAAGGCAGACGAATGGTCGGGAGGCAGTTACTGGCCTCCTCAAACTTTCAAGCTCAGGCTAAACTGGGACTTTACTCAGTGTGCAACACTGTGTTTGTCTCTTCCCCCAGCATGAGCATTTGCTGTCACTCGCCTTTGCAGCCTAGCATGGCCACCAGCAGCTGGCAGGGAAAGCCAGTCTCCCTGCACACCCGGCTTGGTCCACTACAAGGTCCCTGGTGAGCCCATCCTGCTGACCAGGAACTCCAGGTGAGCCGGACCTGCTTTCTCCAGGTACTCCCAGCTCCCTGTTTGTCACCACAACGAAAAACATGCAACAACGCTGAGGTTAACTGGTACAGGCGAGGGTGGACCGTGCTGCAGGCATGCCCCGCGGGGTGGGCAGAGGTGGGCTCCTGTCTCGCCATCTCCCCTGGGCTGCTGGATGCAAGGGTGGAGGGGAGGGGTCTGCTTCCTCTGTGCAAGACCCACCTCAGGTTCCCTTTCTCTCTGCTCCTTTGCAGTTCTCCTTAGCTGCCTATGTCTCCATGTATAGTAAACCCTACCACATGTCCAGTCACTGCCAGTCCCTCTCCAGCACGTGCGTGAGGGAACGCAGGGAGTATCTAGGGCTTTACTCACTGTCACTCCAAAGGTGTCAGATGGACTG